ATGCCATCTGGGCACTATAGAAGTATGATATTATTTAATTCAAACCAGCTAGAATTCAGTAAGAAATGAATGCCAGCAATTATATGACTAGCCAATAAATATAATTTCATGGTATTCTGTAAGATATCCCTAAGTGTTAACTGTAACAGGAGCAGTTAAATTCTTTGGCTGTAAAAACATAACAATTTCTAATCACCCGGTAACTTTGGGCATTATTAAATATATGGAGATTGAAAGACATGGTAGAAGCAATGGAAAAGTCTGGCCAGACTGGGTAATTTGTTTTAGACCTATGGAGAAATCTACTAACCATTTCTTCTATAGACCAATTTGATTAGGAAGTAGGACAAGCAGTTCTTTCATTACTTACCAAAACCATGTTGCACTTTGTATCAATTATTTGGCTGTCTGCAGCACATAGATTAGAATAAAGGGCTTTCTTAGTGTATGTGAATGTTGTGGATTGCTGATTAGTAATTAAAGTATTGAATGAAGAAAATTAGGCCAAAATTGAATGGAAATGAGAAAGTCTTAATTCTGTGATACAGATGTTAGAAACAGATTGTCTTGAGCAGCCCATTCAACATAGTGACATTCTACATAGCCATGGAGTGTTTGCCTCCCATGTAAAGCTCAAGTCAAATGCCTTAGAGATGGTTTCCTCTCCCCTGCCTTGTGATGTAGCTGTATGGGTATTAATTTAGTGAAATATCCTGTCTGCCAGGTGTGGGAACTAGCTGATTTTATTGTAATACCAGATCATTACTTAATTCATATGCAACAGAGTGCAACACATGGAAAGCATTATAAATCTATTTACAATGTGGCTGGTCTGATGATAACATTGTATTAAATTCCCAGGTGAGGCAATTTAAGCAATTGCTTTGCCATGTGCACACTGTGGAAATTAAATTCTCATATATGCTTTAGTAATAAACCAACTGCATTGTTATGCTTATGCGAGTGGTGGGTTGTAGAATCCTCATTCTGGCTATGTGTACCCTGTTTCACATGTAGAATGGTATAGAAGGCTGCACCACAGATCACGGTTCTTAATTAGTTTCAGCTAAGTTAATTCATTTTGTTTGTAGTCTAGCAGTGCCTCTCCAGAAACATATTCTGTTCAGTGGGGAAATATTAAGGCTTGGGTCAAGTAGACAGATTGTTTCAAGCCAAATTTCCAGACAGAACTGGGCAAGTGTATCTGTTTGAACTTGACTTTAAGAAAATCAGCCAATTGGTGTGCAAAATGAGCCAATCAGTATCCGTATAATAGTGAAAACTGCTTGGAATCCGAAATCCTCACTTTCTCAACGAAGGACTCACTTTTGTCATCAGTTTAAAACAGCCGTCGAAACTTTGTGTGTCTAACTTTTTAAGGGATAACAGTCACTTGTTAATTTGCCATACTCTTTCTATAGTTCGTATATGGTCTACAGATTTTTCTGCCCAACTGTGTCTAGTCCACCTAAGTTTAGTATAAGTTAGAGGGAATGAGCTTTACACAAACACACAACTAAATGTGAGAAATGCTCTTGTATTTAACTGTGTGTGTGTGTGTGTGTGGCAAATATTGTCAGTTGAAGCTCTCCACCTTTATGATACAGACCTGAAATTGCAATAGATTACAAACTGCATAGAGCTTCTGTCTTCTCCAGAAGCCACATAGAAAGCACCAGTAGACAGTGGTAACTGACAACTAAAACTAAAAATGTTGACAATTTCCTGATTTGCCTGGTTAGCTTATGTATAGAAGTCATTAACTATTTATAAAATGCATTATGAATTGGGTTCCTTCAAACTGTAGCTGAGTGTGTGACATTTCCAGCTCAAATTCTCATGCTTGCATTTGGCTAAAGTACAGATAATAAAGTAAAAATATTTTAGTTAGTTTATCAAGATACAGTCGATGTTTCAGCTTCATTAACTTTGAGTCATCTGAATTAAAATAGAGCACTTAGTAATGGAGAGTGAGGCTATTAAAAATTCTACAAAAGGTAAAATTATTTATTGATGTTTTGGAGGGAAATTATCAATAAAATAAGCAGTTTGTCATTGAAAGGAATTTGCCTTTTTTGGTATTCAGTCAGTTTAGTGATGATTCTACAGGCTAAATTATAGCTGATTACAATCAGCTTAAAAATTTCAAAATACAAAAAAATTAGGAGAAAATACCAATGTCAGGCATTTAAATATAACTCTTAATAAAACAAAGTCTCGATTTTTTTAAAATTGTAAAATGATACTCCAGTGTAAAGAGTTCAATTTTCTGCATCAGTTGTGTCATTTTCAAGAGGAACTATCTCTGATATTTGAAATGAGGTTTTTTTTTTTAATTCTTTAAGACAAGTTTAATCAGAGAACATTTTATAAACTCAACATATCATTTGCTTAATTACATCCAGAAAGCTATCCAAGTGACCAGTTTTTATCATCCCAATAGTAAAGACTGACATTTTATAGGGAGCACCCTTCAACTGTGGATAAATCCTTAGTTCTCTTCTGTTGCTAAGCATGTACACTCTTAATTGCTGGTTTTCAAAAGCAATGGATTCTCACCAAAACAAGATTAGATATTTAGGGATACGTGTTTGTAATTTTCTTCTTCTTTTGAAGTTTAGTAAATCAAAATAAGAATATAATGTAATTGAACAATCTATGCCAATTTGTTGATATTTTGGTGAAAGGGGGAAAAACAAAAACAATCTCCATATGATATTCTTGCATACTGTGGAATGTTTTAGTCCCCCATAGTGATGAAATGAATAATTAAAAAGGCAGCTCTGATACCGCAGCCTGTTTAAAGGTTCTCATTTCCTTTAATGCTGTAAAATACTTTGGCTTAGCTAGTTTGAAACTGCTGTAGTGGGGATCTCCAAATGGGTAAAAGAAAGGTTGGCTTGATCTAAATAGTGGTGTAAGGCCATGAGGTATGCTGACCTCGCAGTATAGTAATTCTGTATGAAGTCTATAGGAATAATTAATAGTAGCTTCAGCAAATACAATACGAGAAGCAGGCTTAATACGTGCTGTCTGTGGTGGTAAGAAGTCTGGCATGTTCACAACTGAATGAGTTGGTTCCCTCCTGATTTGTTAAGACATCTGATACAGATGTCATTAATGACCTGAGGCTAATGACTTAACTTTGCAACTTTGTCTTCTGCAACATTGTTGGTTTTATTTATCTATTTACAGACTTACTTCCTTTGCTAAGGTACAGGAGATAAACTTGCAACAGAGAAGGGGGCTTAGGGTAGACACTCAGGGCAGAGAAGGGATGCCATCATGTTTCTACTAAAACATCCTGCAGTTTTTGCATCTTTTTCCTGAGTGTATTCAGAGGGTAGTAAAATGGGGAGGAAATTTTGTGTGGTAGAATGAGTACAGGTTCTGGTTTCATTTTAACCAAAGTGGTCTTTAGAAATTCCATAAGAATGATTTGTTTTTCTGAAAAAAAAAAATAAAATAAATAAAGGGATGTCTAGTTTCGTTTCTTTCTATTTACACGCCAGTCAGCCTTTTCAACTAGGTTCTGCCAGAGAGTTGAGCCCTAGTGCCCTTAGGCTTCTATTCGATGTAATGAACTAAACTCTATCTTATGTACCATCCTTGATAGATTAAGAAAATGGTCATTAAAATAATTTTCCATTTTGTGGTTCAGATAAGGAACCCCAATTGAGAAAGGCTGCAACTTTAACATGATTCAAAATCTATTGGGTTTTCTTGTTAAAGGTCCTTTTAAATTCTAATATGATTTCACATTTAACATATCATGATCTGTATGTTGCAAAGCAGTATAACTTACTGGTATAAAAATCTGATTAAAAATCTTGTTGACTTCTGCTCAAGGATTATGAATAGTCCTTTTTAAACTGTAATAATTTTTCGGATCATAGTTGAATAAGTACAAAATTTTAAAACCTAAACTGTAGCCTGCAAATGAGAAAAGATTACTATTTCCCAGCTGCCTTTTTAAAATTGATTCTTTTTTGCTTAGTTCAGAAGCAGAAAAGGCAGCAAAGTAACCTGTAAATCTGCATTTGGATCTGAAAGTGTGATGCTGAAGGAGGATCCGAGAATGGCACTCCAGCTTCCCAACTAACTTTCAGAGCCTTTTTGCTTTTCCAGATGTGTGTACATTTAGATAATTCATAAATTGGGTATAGATACCTGTCCCTCTGACTTTACAGGTCAAGGTCGATTTCTTATAAAACAAAATTTCATTGAGTGAAATGTTGACTCATAGCCCACTTGTCTTTATTTACCAAGACTGAGAACGGTTGACTCAGCCCATTTGCCTTTACTTACTGGGATTGGGAAATTTAATTTGTTCACACACACACACACACACACACACACACACACACACACATTACTTTTCCTTGGGCCATTATTTGAGGAGGGCTCGGGGTCATTGAAGTTATTGTTTGGAAATGGGATGGACTTTTAAGCTCTGTCTCTTTCTGGCTAGTAACATCACAACAATTCAGGAAATACAGATGAACTATTGTCGAGGCATTCCAGTGTACAGTTGGAGTTATAATAGTATCCTTGAATTAGAGATTTATTGAAAAGACCTATATTATAAGGTTCATTTCCTGCCACAGTTTTAAAGACCCCCATATACACTTGTTTTAATTACAATCTGGTGAGTTTTGCCGATAGACGGTTTATATCGCTGTATTTCCTTCAGTGTAGTAGTCTTATTTGAATGACTATGTATAATAACATCCCAGTTCTGATCCACTTGTGAATATTAATGGAGTACTTACACAATGTAGAATTTTTCTTTCATTACTGGCATGTGAAAAACTTCTAATTTACATTAAACTTCTCAAGTTCAAGAACTTTACACAACTTTGGTTTGCAGATCTTAGCAAATAGGTTTCCATTAGGGGGCTCTCGAGGTTTGAGATGATCAGCCTTGATACCAGTAATGCTCCGAAGCCTTTACTTTCTAATGTTCATCTCGCTCTCTCCCTTTTTGTTTTGTTTTATAGAAAAGGTCACGGATTGCCTACAGTGACGAAGTACGGAATGAGCTCCTAGGGGATGATGGGAATTCCTCAGAGAACCAGGTAGAATGCTAATCAGCAAGGCCCGGTGGGTGGCTGGAGGGTGAAGGAGGTCACCGGCACACTGGGCTCTCAAGCTGCTCCTTAACAGTATTAGCAGCAACTCATGTGGAAGCGATACTGTTTAATGCAAAGCTGGAGTCTTAATCAACTTCAAAATGTTTCTTGGAGATCTTACATTTAACCCTTTACCTTGTGATCACTGTCTGCTATCTTTTAAAAAAATCTTTTCTTCTCTTTTCTTTATTATTTAGTACTTAAGGAATAACTTGAAACACACTGTTTGCAGACAAAGCCAAGGTCTTCACCTCAAACACATGTAAAAGGAATGAAAAAGTACATAATGCAGCTTTGATAATAATGCAGTATAATTAAATCAACACTTGCAGCAAAACAAATGAAAGTAAGCTTTCAAAATTCAACAGGGCAGCTCAGTCTCCTATTGTGGAGCTTCTTAAAATACATTCACCAAAATGCAAATTGTGAGCACCAGTGTGGAACTTAGATACTCAGATAGAGGTCCTGCCTCTGTCAAATAATAATAATAATAATAGGAAAAGTCTTTCTCCGGTTTAAGATCTGCAGAGGCAAAAAATAAGATATAATTTCTTCTTAAAATGGCCTTACAACTTGGCTGTCAGTTCTCATTGGATCACACAGCAGTGTCATGAGTCTAATTAATGTCCCACTTCTTTATCTGAATTAATACTGCAGACTTCATGAATTCTTGTAGATAATGTATATAACTTTAAAAAAAAATGTTTTGAGAACCTCAGCGTAGAGATGACTGTTAAAGTGTCTCAAACAACCCTAGTGACTTACTCTCTTTGACACTTTTAGAGAAAATAAATGATGGGAACTTCAGAAGCGAGACCTGAATGTGTTTATTAATATTCCTTTGGCACGTATTGTAAAGGTGTCTACTCTGCCTAAATAAAAATGAACATAAATCATTCATTGAGCAAACCAAAATTTTAATAAGATAGTAAAACATATTAATACACATTATAAAACTTGCATAATTATATTTACCTTTTCAAATAGATTATATTACACCTCTACATATGCTGGAACTATATTACTATCTACTCTAATGTTAATATTGTAAATGGAATGTTGCTTATGTGATTAAGGCCCCCATTCATCCACCCAAAAAGAGGAGGGGGGTGTTGAATCACTGAGCTGACTGTATTTGTTTTTGGAAAAATCTCACCTCATCCACTATTTGGATGTTATCAGCTGGAGTTTAGACATGTAAACACGTTAAGATTTGACCTGGGATTTTAGTTTCCCTGTTTGAAATTTGAGAACGGCTAAGAGAAAAAAATTAAAGAGCACATCAAACATAAAAGGGTGGTGGGATGAAGGGTTTTACTCATAATAGATTAAATAACATGAGGATGAGAGAAAAAAATATTGTTTCCTATTTTAAGTGAGATTTAGATTGTTCATATCTCCTGAATGAATCATAATTTTATTTCATATCTTTACTGCAAAAAAAGCTCCTTTTTTTGAAAGAGCATTCTCTTTTTTGCAAAAAAAGTGAATGCATATTTCCCATGTCAATTCTCTAGAAAGCTATAGATCTTTCCTTCATTTGAAACTATTGCTTAATATAGAGGAAACAGTAAGGAAGGGGTGTTCCTGTCTAACTCAGACTCCTTTATTCTAATAGATGTTGTAGTACTCTGACAGGGATCGCTTTTTTTTTTTTTTTTAAGCATGTTCGCTTCTCTTAATGGACATTTCATGTGCCTAAAACATTTGCCTCATGTACATATAAGTATGGCTTTTTTTATGCCTAAAGAAAAATATTCCGCAGAAATAGAGTTCGTATTTTCTGAATTTTTCAAATTATATTCCTGTCACTTTAAAGTGATTACACTGAGATTTCCTCTGGACTTGTATAAATCAAACTTACAAATTCTGAATGTGCTTGTAGAACCTGAAGTTTAGTTGTAAGGAGCTGTCACTTCAATAAATAGAATATGATAAATTATAGTCATGAGACAGTATAACTATTAGATTATTAGTTATGTGAACTTTTCAGTCCAAAATTTGAATTAGGTTTGAAAGTTCAAAGAGACTACGTTTAACTTCTAGGCTATTTTGTTGCCAACTATAACAAAATTTCTATTCCATAATGAAATGATTAAATTTTATTTTGGGGCTTTTTATCATAATACAGGAATTTAAATCCCTCAAACTAAAACACATCCCTTAGTCAGGAATGGTCATTTGAGAATAACTCTATTCTGCATCAGTATTCATTCAGACTATGAAATCAAAACAGAAGCTCTCTCTTTAAAGGAAGAAAAGATTTTAAGTTGACTCTTTATATTAATTTTTATAGCTCAGGGGCTGAGAAGATAGGGTTCTTTTTCTGGGTAGGATTACCTCTAATTTATATAAGAAAATATTTCCTACCCACAACTAAGTTTATCTTCAAGTTAATTGTTGATAAATTGACTTTCGGAACTTTGTAGCCATGTAATATTTAAGATAAGCTTTTAATATACAGACAAAACTTAGAGATAAAATGAAATAAAAATGTATAATTTATTGAAATTGGGATGTATCTCAAATTTTTTAAATTATAGATCAGAAAAAAAAAATAAAGAATTACAGCATTGGTTGAAAATAGGTAAAATAACTACTGACTCGTTATTTTTGATGCAACATACACATTCTCCCTATAGTGGCTTCTTTGTAGAGATTCAGACAAATGTGAATGCCATAGATACTATTTCTCAATCTGGCCATTTATAATGCATTTTTTTAGGCATCTAAAACCTGTTAGACACATAATCTGCCAATTAACTGTAAAGTATATTAATTTACTCTTACATAAACATTTTTGACATGATTAGAAATGTTAAGATTTCAGCAATTAACAATTTTTCAAGTACATCTTTAATGTCCCTCATACAGTACACAATTTCATTTAATTCCAAATGAATCACTTTGTATAAATTCACTTCTGATTCATATCCATTTCACACACTCAAATATGGCTCATCCCTCATTTACAAAGAAAGGACAAAATTACCTACTTTGCACATTCGAGTATTGTTGGGTCATCAGCTTTCCAAGGACTATTGTCTTAGGCCTTATCATCCTGTTATTTTAAAGTACCAAGTTTTCCATTACATATGGCAAGATTTTAATTCTTTAAGAGAGCTGAGTTTTTGAAATGTAGTAGTTCTGTACTTAGAGTGGAAACTTTAATATTTGTTGCCTTGATTTAGTGTCATGAAAACCATTCTCAGGAAAGAAAAAAAAAAAAAAAAGAAAGAAAGAAAACCGTGTAGAGGTAAGTCCCCTAATCCCCTTCATAGTGAAGTATGATGATGAGGCACATAAAATGTTCCAGACTCTACTTTTGAACCCTCGTGGTCTCTCAGTTTCCATATGCAAAATTATATTGATTGGTGAATAAATGTGAATAAATGAAATTTTAGCAAATCCTAAGTAGAAGGTTCAAATACATGTCTAAGGAGTAGGATATTCATAAACGTGCCGAAATTTTTGTGGCAAAGTAATATTTAGCAGATATGATTGCTTAATTTTTTTAACGCGACATTCTCTTAAGTTCCGATTTGAGCTTGCTGTGCATAAAGTGTGTCAAACTTCAGCTACAGACCAGTGGGTGAAGTCGGTCAATTTAATTCCCCAAGATCTAAAGAAGGTCGGTATCATTTCATATAGCCCTGGCAGAGCAGATCATTACCAGGCACAAATCTGTTCGTTACGTGCTGAGGGTTTATAGCAAAATAAATAGACTGTCATCCTAAGTTCAGAAAATTGTGTGTTCGACCCACGATAATGTGTAAAGGGCGTTTAATAGAGTTCAGCATTTATTCGTTATCTGTATGCGGACAGAGACGGCAGTGGCGTTATCAGCTTTAAAAAAAAAAAAAATCGGTGGTTCTGGGGGTCACGTGCCGCACCGCACACACACAGGCGCGCGTGCAGGAACCCTCACGGGCGCCGCAGCGCAGTTTTGATTCTAGCCACAGCAGAAGGCTTAACCACAAGAGATTCCACTGGTTCAAACCAGCGTAAACCAGATTTTTTCAGCCCACAAAGGAACAGATTACCTCTTGTATCAAATTCTGCATTGGGGGAAAAAAAAATCTTTGTTTCAAAAAAGATGTTGATTATCATAACTCAACATGGTGGCGTGGCACATTTTCAAGTCGCCTGCGATGGAGCTAGTAACTCAATAAAATACAAAATCACGACTTTCCGTCTAGTCTAAGCATTGTTAATTTTCAAAAATAGACCATCTTTTGTTTACTTGAATGAAAACTCTCAGCCTAACGGGGTTGGCGGGGGGGGGGGGGTGAAGATTAAAACCCCTCCCATTACCTAGCTTAGCTACAAATCCCGCGTAGGGTTTGAATGCAGCCATGCGGCACAAACGAGATAGAACGTTTTTTGTTTGGAACCTATTGAAAACACAAATGGGTAGCATTTTTAAACACTCATTGATTATGGCAGGGTGGCATGCCCCAAATGGTCTCCATTGCTGAGGAGTAGTTTTAAACTTTGGCCCTTTAAGTATCATAGTCAACTGAAGAATGGTGCCCCCAGAAAGAAAAGATAGCTGTGCGATCAATTTCCCAGATCGCCTCTTTCTGAGAATTAATGTTTGCCTTTTTCTCCCGTGATGTTCGGATAGCGAAGAGAAAGATTCCTGTGTGTGATAAGCCAGGTGTTCTAGTTTAAAATTTTACTTCTTGGGAAGAACGGTAACCTTTCACGTGAAACGAGATGAAACTCACAGGCACTGGGTGGTTGCTGAGAGGATATTAATTAAAATAATTTCGACTTCCTGTGTATTTTGAAAGGGTGATATTAAAAGTTTCGTTTTCACTAAACGCATTGTGAGACATTATGGAATAGATTCTGTACCCTTTCTATAGAAGATCCACAACAATTTTGAGTTCTCATTCTTTTGTACTTGAAATACTTTCCATATAACAAATAAAATAACAGTAAGCTGGAACGCATACTGCCTTCCTTGAACTGGAGACAAAATCAGCATTAAGCACTGAGAAAGCCGGGCTATAATAAACATGATACTTTAAGAGAGACTTGTAGTGAGCAATTCATGGCACGTTTTCTCCCAAAGCAATAGTTTAATTTATTGGCTTGTGTATGTCAAGTGTTATAACAGATGTTACAGATATTTGGATGTTTAAAAATTATCAGTTGTAGCCCCGAATTGTTGAGGATGCAAATTTCAGACCTCGAACGTGGTTTATAGTCTTTAGCAACATAGGTTTCAGTTTCTGTTCATTGCAGAAACTATGGCAGTCATCTCAACTACACAATGATATTTTACTTAGAATACTGTGAAACATAGACACAAACCCAGCATGTGTGCTCACACACACACAGACACGCACACACAGAATGAGCCAGATATATGGTTCTATCCATTTTCTAGTTTCTGAAGAGTTAAATAACTTGTTTTATCTGTTATATTTAAGGCAAATAAACACATGTTCTACAGGGGAGAATTAAAACATTATCACAGGGAATTTACCAACAAGTAAAGAGTGTTTTTTTGGTTTGCATTCAGTGAGAACAGACCGCAGTACAAACGAAATTAAGAGAGCTCATATGGCTTTGAGATGGCCTGGTTTACAAGATGAAGAAAATTAGAAAATGAAGAAACTTCAAAAATTAAAAATAAAAAAAACCCACCGTGTGATTGCAGGAGCCTCTTAAGCAAAACAAATCCTAGAAATTAACTCTGATACACACAGTATTTCTAAGGACAGTGAAATATTTTGATACTATGTCCTAAATATTATCTCTCCTGGCATGCCTCTTTAAAATAATGTTACCTCCTAATATAATCCTATTACTAGAGTGGGCCCATGTATGATATTAATTAACATAATTATTTTTTTTAATATTTATTGGGACAAAAGCATGAGCTATTAATCATTTTCATTTGCAGGTAAAATCCGAAATCAGTTGTCAAGATTCAAAATAGAGAAACATCCTGAAAACTTGTATATACAAAACCTCTTCAGTGGTACATTCTTAGAAGAGAGGAACAGTAAACTTGTTTTCTTTCTTTATAATATAGACTTCTATGAAGCCGTTCCCCTTTATTTCATGATGGTGTCTTAGATGTACTTTAAAAGAGAATTTCACACTATTCTCTTTGTTTAATGTGACAGTGTGAGAAAGTGATCTTTATTCGTTCAAAAAACTCTGCATGTAGTCTATGTTTAGGTTCTTTTAATGTGTTTGTCTGTGATTTTTAAATGCTAAACATGTAAACAGATAAATTGTCAATGTTAATTCTGTATCCTGTCACACAACTGATCTTTCTTTCCTGCCATTTCTTTCCTTTTTATCTTTTTTTTTGTGCATTCATGTTGCAGTTGATAAAATTACGTGAAGAGGTGAGTATTTCCTAGCTTGCTTTTTTTTTTTTAATTCTGCTTTTTCCTATAAAATTGAGTTTCTAAATCTGAAGTAAGATCTTTGGGTTCATTTTTTTTTCCGGGAAAATTTACACATAGCAAAAGTATTGATTATATGGCTAGAAATGTTCTCTGCTGACTATCTTTTTAAAAAAACAAGTAAACCCTAATCATGCTTATCACAGTGATCATTGTTGGTTGGCATCCGGATAAAATTCATATTTTAAAGGCCAAAAAAGGGGGAAAAAGGGGGGAATATCTTTAAACTTCATCCAAGTGTTATATGGACTAATCTCAGATTTGTTTTATTTGTATTGGTTTTTCAAAGAAGTCAGTGTGATTAAAAATGTGTTTTTTTCTGACATTCCAATTTACTGAAAATTCTTTTTAAATAGACTCTTTTCCCTCACCCAAAATTCTTAAGTTCAACACAAGATAGCATGTTTTTAGGGAAGCACACATTTGTTATAAATACTCTACTAGTTTGTGTACACAGATACTTAAGAATAGCCAAAGCTCTCCTCATTGTTAAAACACTTTTCTTTTTGTAGGAAATAGCACCCAAGTGAGTTCTCATTTTCCTGAGTTGCTGGCCTGTTTTATAATGCATGTCCGGAGTTTTTTGTGGCCCAGCAAATATTTACAGCAATCTTTATCATTGCATCCTTGTACCAGTGAGGGATGCTGAATGATTCTGGTCTTGTTTTTGTTTTGTTTAATTAAGCCACACTTAACAAATATGTTTTGGTATTCTTTTTCAGAGAAAAAAACAGGTATATGTTTTACTTAGGGAAGTTGAGTTTTGTTATTTTTATATTAGAGCATAAAAGAATGGCCCATGTCGCAATTTGAAAGCTCTCTAATTGCTTATAAAGAGTACCATGAATTATTTTTGAGCTTAGATTAATTGCATTGATTTTTTTCCTAGAATATTTTTATTGGTATGTCATCATTCTATTGGTGATGTAAATGCTACATGAGAGGCTTGTGGACAGTGGTTTTCACCAACTCTTTTGATTTAAGATGATCTAGTGACGTCCTCTTATAGTAAAAGTAGTAATGATCTATAACATAAAGGGTGAACATAGAGGAAATCCTTACCCTCCAACCTTCTCCTGTTTTTTTTTTTTTTATGGAAGCAGATATATATGCTAAATGAGTATCATCAATTGCAGTTTTGATATATTAAATTATTCCTGAGATGAGTGATACTCAACATTATTTTCCTGCAAGACAGAATATCTGTTTCTGTGTATTTGCATAGGCTCATGCTTAGGTGAAGAATCTGAATTTTCACATCTTAATGGAAAAAACAATAGACTGGAAAACCTGTGTGTGAAGAAACTACACAAAGCTCTTCTTAATTTAGTTAATATAATTTAAAAAAATATAGGCCTTATTACAGTCAGCATTTTTGACAGATTTATTTTGTTAAGCTGAATAGTGTGGACTTAGAAATCTTAATTCTAAAAGCTGAAAACACGTCTATATTTCTTTTAAAATATGTTTTATTGTGATTTTTAGCTTAATTCTTTTGTTGTGCCTGCAGCAACAGTTTCATCAGTAATGGCTCTGAACTGCATGTTTCCAAAACTATAACCTGGAATGGAATTATACTTGGAAGAATTAGATCATTCAACTAATAGAATAATATACTCTGGAATATTCTTTTAAGTCTTTGATACAGATGTAGCATTGATATTTGTAAAAATAGATTACGATGATGACAGTGCCTTGGTATCTGGTTTGCTCAGAAGAGATTGTTTCTGAGCCAGGATTCTAATAGTAATCAAACAGTGAGTGTACCCCAGACTTCCTCCTTGTACCTCTCCTAAGAACACAAGCACTCATCTGATTCAAAATAGGATGTTTGGTTGTGTTTGGATACAAAGTATGCCCCATCCCTTCTTTGGGATGGTCTTTCCCGGCTCAGTTCTGGGAAGCGGGCATGCTTGGAGGCAGGCTGGTGTGTGCAGGGAGCTGAACTGGTTGGTGTTGGCTGTGCTGAGCCCTGCATCTGAATCCTGCCTTTGCAGCTGTCCACACTGCACAGCTCCTCACGCAAGTGGAGCTCTGTCTGAAACTCCTGCACAGCTTCACTTACCTGCTTTGAAAGGGCTGAGGAGAGGGTGAGAGAATGAGTTTGGGATGGAGTGTGGGGGCAAGTTGAAAGCATCAGTTGCTACTGTAGTGTATTTCCTTTCATTTTCAGAGACCAGGGCAATGCACAACTAAGGGAACAATGTAAATAGCGCAGCTGTTACAAGAACTTGATTTTAGCTTGACTTAAGTGAAGAGGTTCCAAAATACAAAGTGAGGTCCTGCTG